GCTAGGATTACAGGCGTGAGCCACCGCGCCCGGCCACTTCCCCTATTCTTATCAGCTAATTGCAATAATTCTTTCTTCCCACACAATAAATAACAGCAGGTGTTTCTCATATTCATGGTTATTCTTTATCTTTTCATACCTGGGATAAATTTCCACCATGAGTGAGATACACCCAAGCTAGACTACCATTTGGAAGTCTAAGCAACACAAGGAAACAGAAATCAGTTCAAAGAACTGATTGCTAGGTTAAGATTAACAAGAAGAACTTAGATGGGACCAAAAAAATAATGAATAGAATAGAAAAGGTCTACCTTTTGTAAAAAAGAGAAGAAAAGAAATGCCTGATCAAAACATTCTGAGTCATAACAGAAGTGAGCAAAAACACTGATCCAATTTAACCAAAACAGCCAACTTGGAGTTAAGTGACAACCTTCAGAGTTTATCATGTACATGAGAACACAAACGTACATTTAAGCTTTATGATCCATTTCCCTCGATGTGGAAGGAAATTGATGGGGATATGTCTCCCCCTCAATCCTGATGACATTAAGCTATTTATCTTTGACAAATGCACTTACCAGAAGGCAGAATCAGCTCCATGGTTTCATCGTTATATTCCAAGTTCTTTTCTGAGGGCAACTCCTCAGACTCAGTGGCATCCTCCCCTTCCTTGTGATCTGGGTAGCTACTCCTGTAGCAGTGAAATGGCACTAATAAATACACGAATACCCCAAACTGAACAACAAAAACATATACTGTATTTGCAAATGTGGCAAACCTGCTAGCTACCTAAAGGAGGGGGGGAAACGGCTGTAGGAACTGCCAGCTGAAAAGTTTGGGGAAGAAAATAACTTGTTAACATTTTTCTGTAGTAAAAGTGAGCAAATGACTTATAACAATTCTTTCTCCTATTTGTTTCTCCTTAGGAAGGTTGCCAAATGGAAGAGGAGAATGTAGAGATGAACAAGCTCTATTCAATTTAATCATTATAAAAATAAGTTTCAGAACAGTGCTGTACAATAGAACTCTGTGACAGAAATGTTCTATGCCTGTGTAACCAATACGGTAGCTCTAGTCACACAGGCTTTCAAGCACTCAACTCTGAAATGCAGATAGTGTGACTACTGAAGAACTGAATTTTTAATTTAACTGTAAATTAAATAGCCACATAAGTACACCTGTCCATGGACAGTGTAGGTCTAGAAGAATCTCTATGCTCCTAGAAATATTCACAAATTCATATTCACACATACACATGGAAAATTGAGAAAATGTACACTAAAATATTAACAGCAAGCCAGACAATCCAACAGGAAAATGAACAAAAGACTTGATCAGACATTTCAAAAAAAGATATCCAAATGGCCAATTAATACATAAAAAGGCTCCTGATGACAGTAGTCATCATCAGGGAGATGCAAATTAAAACCACTACACACCCACTAATGTGGCTAAAGTGAAAAACTCTCCCTCACTATAAGTGGGAGTATAGAGAACCACTTTGGAAAACAATTTGACAGTATTTTCTAAAACCAAACATATGTACATCTTCTGGTCCAACTCCTACATATACACACAACAGATAAAGTATACGCATTTGCCAAAAGACACATACTAGAATGAAGTAGCAGCATTATTTGTAATAGCTCCAAACTGGAAACAACTCAGATGCACATCAACAGTAGACTAGATTTTGTAGGTGCTAAACATAATACTCTATAACAATGAGAATGAATTATCTACAACTATACAAAATAGTGTGAATGAGTCTCTCGAATGTAAAGTAGAGCAAAAGAAGCCAGATCCAAGAGTACATTCTTTGTGATTTCATTTATATAAAAGTACAAAAACAGGCAAAACCAATCTATGCAGTTATAAGTCAGAAGAGTAGCTACTCTTAGAAACAGGAGGGGTAGTTCCTGAAAGGACGTGCAAGGTAAACATCCGGTGTTATTAATGTTCTGTTTCTTCATCTGGATACTAGTTACATTTAAAACTTCACTGGACTGAATTATGATATCAAAAGTACGGTCATCCCTTGGCATCCATGAGGGATTGCTTCCAGAACCTCCCTTGAATATCAAAATCTGCAGATGCTCAAGTCCTTGATATAAAATGGCACAGTCAGTATTTGCATATAACCTATGCACATTCTCCCATACTTTAAATCATCCCTAAATTACTTATAATACCTAATACAATGCAAATGCTATATATAGTTGTTATGCTGTATTGTTTAGGGAATAATGACAAGAAAAAAAAGACTGTGTATATTTATACTACAGATGTATTTTTTTCCAATGCCATTTTTTGATCCACAGTTAACTGAATCCACAGATGCAGAACCCATAGATACAAAGGGCTGACTGTATACATATGTGTACTTTTCTATAAGTTTATTCTTCAGTAAAAAGTTTCAAGTAAAAAATAAGTTAACACTAGTTATCTTGGGAAGGTGCTGGCTTTGTATATGAAGGTTTTTTATTTTCCATTTTTTAAGCATTATCAACTTTTTTTTTTTAAAGACAGGGTCACTATGTTGCCCAGGCTGGCCTTGAACCTCTGAGCTCAAGGGACACTTCTACCTCAGCCTCCTGAGTAGCTGGGACTACACGCATAAACCACTGCACCCAGCCAACTTTTGTTTTTTTAAAGAAAATAAATCATTCATTTTTAGAAAGACTCACAAAATTTCTCATTTCCAGGTACCAATAGAATAAAACGCAATAAATGTAGTCCAAAAAAGCATCATTTGGACTAAGAGAAATTCACTTCTTGAACCATTTACATCAGTTACATATTTTAATTCAAACTAACAGTTTGATCAACACCCAGTAAACAGTAATAACAACAACAAAAGGCCCTACCATTTTGAAGCTTAGACTCTAGAAGGAAAGAGACAATAAACAAATTATATATAATATGTAAAATGGCAGTAAGGGTTCTCAGAAACACACTTGATACCTTAGAGGAATAGCTAGAAATCCAGAGAGCAAGAAATAGAAAACACAGGAACCATAGCTGGGCCAGATCATGCAGGGCCTAGTAGGCCACTACACTTGGCTTTTACTTTGAGTAAGATAGGAAGTCTTTGCAAGGTTGAGTAGTTTGAGCTGATCATGTAGGGCCCTCTAGGCCATTGTACTTTGAGTATGATAGGAAATCTCTGTAAGATTTGAGTAGCTTGATCTGATCTGTAGGCCCCTGTAGGCCGTTATACTTTGGCTTTTACTTTGAGTAAGATAGGAAGTCTTTGGAAGATTGAGTAGTTTGAGCTGACTTAGTATTTTAAAAGGATCCCTCTGGCTACAGTTTTGAGAATAGAATGTAGGGGTTGGTAAGTCAGGTGAAAGATAATGATGACCTGGACCCAGGTAGTCACGGGGTAGTAGTCACACTCTGAAGACAATGTGAAGGTAGATAAAACAAGATTTGGTGATGGATTTAATATAAGCCTGAAAGAAAAACAGAAGAATAAAGGATGACTACATGGCTGGCTTTTGGCTTAAGTAACTAGAAGGACAGAGTTGCCATATACTTAGGGAGGAGCAGGTTAGGATGCACAGCAGGAGTTTGATTTTGGACATGTTAAATTAATTACTCTTTTTGGACACTTAAGTAGAAATGACCAGGAGACAGCTGGATATCTAAGTCTGGAGCTTAGACAGCCTTATGGGAAGGCTATACTAAAGACATAAATTTGGGAGTCATGGGCCTGTAGGAGGTGCTGATATCTGTGAGACTGGGTATGATCCTGCATATAACCACAGGATAAGAAACTGAGTGGTGCGGCAGCCTAGGGCAGCTGCCTGCTGCAGCCACTTAGTTCCACCTATGCTATTTGCTTTGACTACTCTGATTATAACATGAATCAAAAGGTCATAAATTGCTGTTTGAAAGGAACCCTGAGAGAGATAAATATTATCTCCTGCCTGGAAGAAGATGCTTTTTACTTCCAGCAGACACTTAATCTCGTCTTTTCCACGTCATCACCTCTAACCCACCCCCAATCCCCCCAGTGACACCTATTTGATGGCAAGTCTCCAATTGCAAAATGAGAAATCGGGGAGAAAAATGCAAAGGAAGACTTAAAAGACTAAGACTTTGCTGAACACCTGTATCACTTGGACTATGCATGCCTGCCATGGTAAGTATACACAGCTGCTTATCTCCTGCAGTAAGTTATAGGAATTTTGACAATAGGAACTAGTTGTTCATGAGCACTTAGGCAAAATTTGTTAAATGATGCATGAATTATTCAAGATTCTAGTTAGGAATAAACTACCTATGGGATAATCTCATCACCAAATGCTTGGGTATGGCCTAGCTTAGCAATCATCTCAACTCCCTCAGAAGACAGCTTGTGATTCAAGGACTCTCAGGGAACCCAAAATGCGAAAACTAATCTCTGCACCTCTGTTCATGGGGTAACTAGCAAAACTGAACTCCTGATAGTTTAACCACCAAAAAAACCCCCAAAACAAATCAGACAAACATCAGTTTAGGCCTGAGATCTTCTCTTTACTAGATGTGTTACTCTGTCAAACTGAGTTTCCTACTTACAAAATAAGAGAAAATAACTACCTTAGATAGAGGTGTTATAAAGATTATTAAGAATATATTGCCAGCCTGGTCAATAGCGAGACCCCCATCTCTACCAAAAAAGAAAAAAATTATCCAGTCATGGCGGCACGTTCTTGTAGTCTCAGCTACTCAGGAGGCTGAGACAGTAGAATTGCTTGAGCCTGGGAGTTTCAAGGTGCAGTGAGTTATGGTCACTCACACCACTGCATTCTAGCCCAGGAAATAGAGTGAGATTCTGTCTCAAAAACAAAACAAAACAAGAACATATTGTACAGTGCCAGTCACATATCTGTCACTGGCGCACCTAACATCACTTCAATGCAAACATGATGACCTTACTTCATTTCCCATTACAAACCACACTTACCTAAAATCATAGAAATCTGCAAATTCCAAAGCAGCATCGCCATCTGTGAAGAGCTTACAGTGGCTTTTGTCATTCATGTGTGCCTGTACAGCCTCTGTGGAGTAAAAGGATTTCCCTTTCTCATTGCACCACAGGCAAATCTTCCCAACACCAACTTTCTCTCCTGGAAAAATAATTTGAGAAGAAAATATGAAAGAAGCTTCCTGCAACCAGATTAAATCTCACCACTTATCTCCACAATTCGAAAAACATTCATCAAGTTTTTGGTTTTCACAAAAATAAGTAATTAAATCAAAGACTGGTAAGAAACAAAACTAGTGTTCCCTTGGGACCAGTCCCCGAATAATGTGATATTTCCTCACTAAAAGGAAAATTACTGTACTTACCTAAGTATTTAATCAGTCCCTTAAGATCTGAAAGATATTCTATATCAGGAATAAAGAAGCTGTGGACTTTTGTCATATGAGCCACGTTCTTCACAAGTGAGCTTGAATGATGGGAACAAAATAAGCAGTCCGTTACAGGGATGGCTCCAAGGGGTGGGCTTTCTCCAGCCTTTTCCTCCTCTGCCTCCTGCTCCTCCACTGCTTCAGTATCCTCACATTCCAATTCTTCATCAGAATCAATATCTTCCCAATCTTCAAACCAAAATTTTGACAAAGTTTAAGATAAGAGTTAGTCACAAAGATACCACAAAGATTCACATGAGGCAGTACAGTCCTATACTTGGGGACACGGCATGTCAATTACATCCCCCTGGGGACAAATCCTCGTTCAAGATCTCAATTATAGCTATTCATTTTACCAAACTAAGTTGCATGGCTAAAAAACTCCTTAATCTTTTCCAGCACACAGGATTCTTTCGTTCCTTTCATATGCCTCATAGCACCTAGTCCAGCACTGAATACATAGTTAAGTGGTCTCAAATCTGGCTGAATATTTTTATAAACTGCTACAACAATGTCTGTATCTACTGTTTCATAGTACTATGGTGTGTATGTATGTGGTGGTGGGCTGCTGTATGAACTGCTATTATTTGATCATATGTGTCCCTCCCAAATTACTTATGTTGAAACTTAATCACCAATGGAATAGAATTAAAAGGCAGGGTCTTTCTTTCGGAGGTGATCAGATCATGAGACCAGAACCCTCAAGAATGGATTAGTGTGCTTACAAAATGGCTCAAGGGAACTGGTTAGCTCCTTTCTTGCCCTCTGTTCCTTTTGCCATGTGAGCATACCACAAGAAAACCCCATGTATGGAACAGGCCCCTTGCCAGACACTGAATCAGCCAGCACCTTGATTTTGGCCTTCCCAGTCTCCAGAACTGTGAGAAAATACATTTACTTAGTTTATAAATTACCCAGTCTCAGGTATTTTGTTATAGCAGCACAAAGACATTAATATATACAATACCAGCGTTAATAGGATGTGGGATGAGGAAAGGAAGGAATAAACAGCTCATGAACTCAAGAAGGCTAGGTTGCTAGCTCAAGCTCCACATTTCAGGTTTGCTAGCTGATTTTGAGCTCATCATTCTGTTTTAATCAACTAAATTAAGTACAAAGCCACCTCCCCATCCAAAACAGAGAGGGTATCAATTCATTCTACGAACATTTATTAAGCACCTATTCTTTTTCCAAGTAAGGTTTATGCCCTGAATCTACAACAGTGAACTAAACAGACAAATTTCCCTGTGGGGATGCTGGTCAGATAACGCACTTCAGAAAGCGTCTTACCTATCTACACTCATCACTTTCACCTAAAAACTGACACACACTGACATCCCCACCTCGAGTACAAATCTGGAAACGTTAAGTGGAGCCAATTTCCTCTCCGGGCCGCCACCCCACCCCCACCCCGCCCAAGACAGAACCATTACCGTCTTCATCCAGGTCCTCCTCGTCCTCACTGTCCTCCTCCTGCTGCTTCGCCAACTTCTTCGCTTGCTGTTCAAACCACTGAAGCCGGGGCGGTTTCTCGGTGGGGTCTCGGTCGTGAGTCACACGGCCACCAGCAGCCACGGCCACAGAACTCGTGGACTCCTCTGTAGGCGCCGGGGGCGTCTTCTTGGGAGACATAGACGGCTGAGCCTTGATGGCCTGCTGGATGGCCGCGTTCATGGCATCCTTGTCGACATTGTCCACGCTCAGTCCTTTCTCCAAGTTCTTTTCATTCATCATCTCTACTTTCCGATTCACGGCCTGCACGGCCTTCTTTTCCAGCTCAACGTGCCGCCGGGACTTGAGGTGGTTTTCGTAGGCGTTGAAAGAGGCAAACTTCTTACTGCAAACGGTGCAGTAGGTGGCGGAGCCCTTGCTCTCCTGCTCCGCCACGGCCCGCTGCGCCCGCACTCGCTCCTGGAAGCCCTCGGCGGTGACCGGGGCCATGTTGGCCACTTTTCGCCGCAGGTTGTAGCGATGCCAGTCCGTCTTGTAGTGGGCCCGCTGCATCTCCGCGTCGCGGAACGCCACCCGGCAAGTTATGCAAGTGTACGTCGCCATCGCCAGCCGAGAAGTAAGAGGCGACCAAGCGAAGAACCTAATGATCAGCGCCTTGTCCACACAAGACCCTCAGACCTTAACTAGCCTCAGCTGCCACGAAAAGCCACACTGAGCGCAGATTTCCCGATTCTCACTGAGAGCCCTTCCGGCACATGCCGGAAGTTTTTTAACAGCTGTACAGGAAATCCCGCCTCTCAGCCTATGGCCACGCCCCCGCCGCGGCGCGGTCCCGGAAGGCGAGGGAATCCCGTGGTTAACCAGATAGTGGATCCGCCTGGTCCTCCTGAGGTGGGTGTGGCTAGAATGGCGTCTTACCCTCCCAGTTACCTTCCTTGGTGGTTGTGTCGTGCGGTGTGACGCAGTTAAGGTGACGGCTGTGCGAGAAGGGAGGAATGCGGGGCCCGGGGCTGCCCGTGGCCCTGGGAGGCCCCCAGGGAATGGTCCTGTCAGTGACGCTAGGGTCGAGTTTTTTCTGAGTATCGCGCGCTGCTGCCCTGGAGCCCGGTGAATGGATGTCAAGAAAGTGAAGGCTGCTCTTTCGCCCTCCAGTGGGACCACCAGAGCCCTCGCCCGGCCGTCTTGGACGATTCACTGGGAAACCGGACAGCCCAGGCTGGAGGCTGGGCCTTTCCGAGGCGGCGCTTCCAGCGAAGGGCACAGGCGAAACTCTTGAATGGAAAGTGTGCCTGCTAGGTGTAAATAGTACGGTCGAGCCGCTGTCCAATAAAAATATAATCCAAGCCACATATGTAATTTTTAATCTAATTGTGGTCACATTTTTAAAAAGTCAGAAATAGGTGACATTGGTTTTAATGATGTATTTTGTTTAACCCAGTATATCTAAACTACCATTGCAATATGTAATCAATCTAAAACAATTGAGATATTTTATATTCTTTCGTTGATACTAAGTCTTGGAAATCCAGTGTGCATTTTACAATTAACACATCTCAATTGGGACTAGCCCCATTTCAGATGTCCAGTTGTCTGTGTAGCCTCGTTCATATCGCACAGCACAGTTCTACAGAAAACATGAACTTGAAAGACCTGGGGAGGGCATAGATTCGTCTGCAAGAGCCTAGCCAGAACCAGAGTCAGCTTCGTTACAGAGTCGAGTGTTGCATATTTAGAATCCAAGCTACCGATAGCGCCAAAGAAGATAATGTCGTTCTTAAAAATATAAGACAGGTGGTGCTGCTCTTTTTGCTCAAAACGCTCCAGTGGTTGCCCTTGACTCAATAAAATTCAAACACCTTTTTATTCTGTGAGACCCTACAGGATCTGCCACCACCCCATCCCTACCTCTGATTTCCTGCCACACCCACTTCCCCAGCCTACTCACCCCACTTCAGGCGCAGTGACATTTCTATGTTCTTTTAACAAGGCTAAGCAAGCATCTTTGGTTGGTACTAAGTCTTAGAAAGCCCATCTACAGGCCACAGGATCCTAGACACACCCTATCTTATCTGATCTCAGAAGCTAAGCAGGGTGGTCCTGGTTAGTACTTGGATGGGAGAAGTCCTTTATTCTTCTGCTCATAATGTCATTTTGCTAGCTTGCTTCCCTTACTTTTTATACCTCAGCCCAAATGCCTTTGTGAGAGAGGCTTATCCAAACTCTTTTGTCAAAAATAGTGCCTACACTCAAAGTCCTTAACAGGCATAACTTTTCTTTATAGCACTGTATTAGTTATCTATTACTGTGTATCTAATTGCTTCAAAATTTAACATCAAACTTTATCTGTTTCTGTAAGTCAGGCATTTGAGTGGCTTAGCTGGGTGGTTCTGACTACAGATCTTATGAGTGAACATGCCTGCCAGCTCTGAAGTCACTTGAAGGTTTGACCGTATTTGACTGTGGCTGGAGGGTTGCCTTCAAAGATGGCTCATTAATATGGCTGATAGCAAGAGGTTTGGGTTCCTTGCCAAGTGGACCTCTCTGTAAGACTGCTTGAGCATCCTTATACATGGCAATCGGCTTCCCATGGAGAGAGCAGAGTAGAACCGTAGTGTCTTGACCTAGCCTTGGAAGTCACACAGTCATTTCCATGACATGCTATTGCTTATGCAGGTTGGCCCTATTTAATGTGGGAGGGGACTACATAGGGCATGAATACTAGGAGAGGGAGAAGTGGGGTGGTCTTTGGTGATCACCTTGGGAGACTGGCTACTACTCACATTTTTTGTCACTGACTTCCCAGTTTTAGCACTGGAAGTCCTCCGTCCCAGGAAACCCTTCAATCCTGGACAAACCAGGATGACTAGTCACACTACATGTTAGTTATCTGCATCTGGAATATAAGCTCCACGAGAGCAGGCACTCCTTTCATTGTTGTATAGCCCGATGCTAGACCAGTGCCAATATATAGATTGTGTAGTATTTGTTAAATGAATCTTTGCAATGCAAAAGTTGAGTCTGATGATGATTTTTATTCCAGAAAACTTACTTTGAGATTATCAAAATCTTTTAAAATAGCTGAGCCCTCTGGACAAATACCCACTTTAAGAAATATGGCTGATATTAGTCATCAACTGGAATAAGCAAAGCAGTGTGTATTTTCAAGCTTCCCTAAAAAGTAAAGCAGAAGATGGCTGTATAAAGTAAAGAACTTCTGATTTTACTCTTTCCTATTATCACTCTTATACGGTTCTTCCTGCGTCTGTTCTTCAGGTCATTATTTCCTCCCTGTCTCCCCCAGTGTATTTTCATGATCCTCCCATTTCAGCATCTTTGAGCGCTCCATAGGTTCTTTACTTTTCCTCTATAAAGGGTTATTGTTTCCTCCACTATATTAGTTTTCCAATGTACTCCTCTTCTTCTGCAGTCTCCAGGGTGACCTTACTCTTTCCCCTTAGCCTACTCTACAGTGAATTTAATTTTCTTGTGTCATTTTTCTTCTTATGTCACTTGTCCTGTTAAAAAATGGTTGCCCGTTGCCCATAAGATAAAGTTTACATTCCTTTGCCTAGTTTTCAATATCTCCCATAATCTCTCCCCCATGGTATCTGTCTTTTATAATAATCTACTGGTTCTAAATTAAGACATTCCTACCCTCAAAGAGTTTTTTATGATTTGTTAGGGATGGTAAAAAAAAATACACAACTATAATAAATTAGGTTATCAAGTATGAAATGTCCTATTGCCTTAAGTACTAAGTTTGACAGTTGATAGCTCTCACATTTCACTTTGACCCTTCTTGTTTTATTGTGAAGGTACATCCTCAGTCTTGCAAATGCATGTGTTGGCCTGTGATTATCTTTCAAATTTTCTTTGAGCAATTTTTGTAAAACCATGGATGAGTCAAAAATTCATGTTATTTTCACATATGAGTTCTGTCGTGGAACGAATGCAGTGCAGACAGCTTGAAATACCAATGATGTATTTGGAAAGGACGTGGCAAATGAACGCACAGTACATCAACGGTTTGAGAAATTCTGTTCTGGTGATTTTAATCTTGAAAATGAGCCACGTGGGCAACCTGAGACCAAGGTGGATGGATAATGATGAGCTGAAAGCTGTAGTGGAAGCAAATCCATCTCAACCTATATGTGAATTAGCAGCAAGTTTTGACGTTACTATTCCAACAATATCAGACCATTCGAAATAAGGTAAAGAAGCTGGATAGATGGGTTCCACATAAATTAAACAAGGATCAGAAGAGAAATCATCTGAAAGCTTGCCTTTCTTTGCTGTCACAACATAAATGTGAACCATTTCTATACTATGTTGTTACGTGTGATGAAAAATGGATTCTTTTTGACAATCACAAGCATTGAGCACAATGATTGGATAAAGATGAAATGCGGAAACACAGTCCAAAACTGAATATTACTCAAAAAAGCTAATGGTGTTTGGTGGTCCAGTACTGGTAATACGCACTACAGCTTCATGAAACCCTGGTCAATTGATTACAGCAGATGTCTACTGCACCCAATTGGATGAAATGATTAGGATGCTTGCAATTAAGCAGCTGAGATTGGTCAATAGAAACAGGCCAATCCTGTTGCAAGAAAACAATCACATGTCACACAAACAACGCTGTTCAAACTATAGCAGCTGGGCTTGGAAATTCTCTGTCATCCACCATATTCACCAGACCTTGCACCAACTGACTACCACTTCTTCCAGGCTTTGGGCCACTTTTTGCAATGAAAAATATTCAGTTCTCTACAAGCTGTGGAAAATGCCTTTCGTGATTTCATCGCCACTCACTCTGCAGGCTTTGTTGCTGCTGGCATAAACAAGCTACTGTTAAGATGGCAAAACTGTGTCAATAGTTGAGGCACATACTTTAATTGTACTGCTTCATAATAAACTATGCTTTTGATTCACAATTGGACCTTTCATATTTAATGACCTTAGTCAAATGAAGACTGGATCTGCTACAATGAAATATAAAGAAAGAGGCAATGAGCATTTAGAATAGAGAAATCTTATGCAATTAGAGAAATCAGAAAAGTTTTCATTAAGGAGTTGACATTTCATATGAGTCCTGTGGGAGGAGAGGATTGAGGACTTTTTCTGCAAGTGGAAAAAGGGAGGTGGAACAGGTAGAAGAAATACTGTGGAGGGAGTAAAATAAAGGACATATTTAAGACAACTATGTCTAGTTTGTGTGAAGCATAGGATACAGGCAAACAAGGAAAAATGAGACTAGAAAATATTAAGGTATCATTAGCAAGAGACTTGAATTCTAGTGTTTGCTGTTCATTCTTCATTTGGTAAACAGTTGAGAGTCACAGAGTGTTTCAGTTTATATGCTCGTGATTGTCAAAAAGAATCCATTTTTCATCACACATAACAACATAGTATAGAAATGGTTTACATTTTTGGCATCAGGAATAGAACTGGACCTTAAGTAGATCCAGTAACCGTATCTGGAACTGATTTGAGAAATACAGGAAAGGAGCAGGTCTATAGTTACTTGGTAAATGCAAACCAGGGGACTGTTGAGTTAAATCTCTCTGTGGCACATCCACAGCACTATCTTAATGTATCTAATCTCTGCTGACAATACTACTTTCAAAAATATTTATTACCAAATTGATCACTCTGCTGAAGAACTCAAACTAAGATCACCCATAACAAAAAAATTGAAAATATTAAAAATTAGAATTTCTTC